GTTGCTCGACAGGAAAAACTTCTGGAAAAAGTTTCTGGCCGAATTTGCATTTATGATGGCATCATTTGCATATGACCAACGATGCTGGGACATCTTCGAGTGTCAAGCAGATGGAAATTATGGCAATGTGCAGAGCCACAGAGAGTGGGTTTTAAAATACTCAAGAGGAAATTCTTGACGGAAATTAATTCTTAAAATACTTTTAGTAAACACTCTGCTGTAAATCTCATTCACTTTCTTTGAAGCTTCCAATTTAAATCCGTTAAAGAAACCACCAAATCCAAGCGTGACCCCAGATGCGAGTGGAAAACTTTAGTCGCAAAAGAGAAAGTTCAATTTCATAGACTATGTTGAGAAGCTGCGGGAACTCCAAAATGGTTAACCAAAGTAATTAAGGCTCAAAAAAGAAAGAGGGCGATAACTAATCAATCGGTTATGTAACCAACGCCCCGCTGCTAACAATTACATTAAATTAAATGTGTGATTGACTTGTGTGCAAGTTTTTTATTTATTTTCCTTTAAGCCCCATTTTGACGCTCTCGTTTCGATTACGAATCAAGTCTTTTAGATGAGATGGCAGAAAAACTGGGATATGGCCTAATGAATGAAATGTCATTGAATGGCAAAATGGAGAAAGATCGGGGTGGTTTGAGAAATTAATGGTAAGAAAAAACTGTAGGTGATTTTATGAGATATTTTAATAATTTTTATTATCATATATTGCCTGTTGGATTGGCTCTTAACCTGACTTCTTATCACTGCTTTGAAAAATCCCCAATTCACTTGACTGAAGACTATCACCTAAATCTATTTTAAAATCCGAGTACTTGAAGATTCTGTGCTAAACAAAGAATTGCTCGTTAAACCTATCTCGCCATGATCATAAATATTTGATAATGTCAAACTCTAGTCTTGCAGCAGATCCCCAAGCAAGCCTAATCTTATCTGCAATGTTTGTGGCTTTAATTTAGCTTGTCCCAGGAATACTTTAATAATTAAACGTGCTTCGGAGCAGTGGACAGCTTATCAAAAGTGGGAAAAATCACTAAAAAAACACCATTGGCCAACAGTAAAGTGCAGTGAGTGGACTGTGGCAGCATTTCCTGCATTTCGCAGCGCAAAAAAAGTCAAATAAATCAAGTTTACATGAAAAATTATTTCGTGGCGCAAAGAAGATGATTGCTGTGGGGATTCCGGAAGGAAGGGGCCATGTCCACAAGTGGCTGAAACTCCACTCCTGATGATGATGATGATGATGATGATGACGTCGAAGCGAGAGCCTGTAGAGTTCGCTGTGTGTGTTTACACTCACCGACATTTACGCACAAACACACACCACAGCAGGCATCTCCATAATCGGCTTCATTTGTGCAGATTTACGTTTTCATTTTAAAAAGCACTCTGCTTTGCTTGCTGCCTTTTTGTAATTATTATTTTCCGCAATTAAAAAATCATTGCAAAAGATCAAAAGTGTAATTAACAGAGGTCATTATTGCATTGTTCTTTCACACTTATTAAATGTGGGTGCACATTGCATGAATGCCATCAGTTTTTAATATAATTTTGTTTACCCAGTGCTTGAGGGAAAACCCTGTAACGCTTGGTTACGAGGTTCGGTGGCGCCGCCTAGGTGTCAGAGGCAAATTTGCGGATAAGGGCGTACGGTACAGTGCCATCTGTCGGCAAATCCGAGAAGGTCTTGGGATGGAAATGAAATGGTTAAGAGAAATTAGCTGGGTCAATCTCTCGTCTTTCACCCGAAGGGGTGCATCTTCGGGAGGCGATCGAAGGTTCCCGCTGGCGTGAGGGCGCGACGGTCGGCCAAATTGATTCTGGCGGTGCTATTAAGCAGATCGGCCGCAGCTCTGCAGATTGAGCTTTAAATTTCATTTTTGTTGGTGAAGAGAATATTTTTTTATTTTTTTTGTGAATTTATATTGGACCCCTATTGGAGTTGGAATCGACTCACGGTGAGAGTGAATAAGTGGTTTTAAAAAAAAAAGCTGTGTCCTAAGTTTTTATCGCTTAGGAATCTCGGAAGCGGTCAATTTCCTCGGCGCCAATATTGGTCAGCGCGAAGCGCCAAGGCGAGGGCGCAGCGGGGGAAGCAGACAGAGAGAAGACCGCCAATAGCGGTTCCATCCAAGCGCGAGAGAAGAGCGTCAGCAAGGCGGAGGAGCAAATTTCACCGTTGATCTCCGCAAAGCGGAGGAGCCGATAACGTCACCCCCTCTTGCCACCAAAGCATCAGCCAAATTTGGCATAGGCGGAGTAACCGCTGCTTTTGTGACTTTTTCTTTTTGAGCCGATGGTTGTTGTTGCGATGCAGTAAGCAGTGAGAGGGAAAGCAGAAGGGAAAATTAGATCAGCGATCAGCCGAACCCATATCGTCGGCGAGATGCTGTAGAAGCTGGCGAATTTGCAGAATTAATTTAATTTTATTTTATTTTTTTTGGCGTACTTATATGTTTTTTTTGTGTAAGTTTTAGTGGGGAGCCAAGAGGGAAAAAAGATAGGCCGGTGACATAGGGAGAGTGTTGAGATTAAATAATAAAAAAGAAAAGAATATGCAGGGTGAGATTTTCGGCAGGGTTTAAATAATATTCGTTCCACACAGCCTCCCCATCACATCTACGCGGGAAAGCGCTTTCTTCGCTGGAGTTACAAAAAGGGTGAGTGAAATACAGGTGTGTTTTCAAATCAACCAAAACCTGACCGAGAGTTAAAGGTCCCATTTTTTTAAAAGAAAATAATGAAAGCGTAACCTATACAAAAAAGAATAAAATAACTAATACACAACTTAGCTCCTCTGTATGTCCCTCGGTCCCGTCTATTTTCTTCTCTGCACAGGGAAAATTTGGCTAATACTCGATGCCAGTTTAATGTTAGGGTCGCTGAAGATTTTTAATTAATTTAATTTTGTCAATTTTAAGCCCAGAAACTAATGCAGGCAAATAAGGAAAGAATATTTTTTTAGGTTTTTTTATTGCTCAAATAATACTATACCGCCTAAGTTTTAAGATTTTTAATTTAAAAAGAAAATTTTGCAGCAAATGTCTTTCAAGATCTTAATATTCAAAATTCAATTTAAATGTTTACTTTTAAGGAAATAAATTTTATAATGTTTTAATTTTTCTTTGTTTTGCCTTCAGCTAGCTGATTCTCCTTGGGGATGCCTTAGATAGGTTTTGAGAAGGGGCCATCGGATGAGAGCTGGAGAGCGATGGCCAAGGAAGGGAGGGTGAAGCCACTCCAATTCCACCAGGAGTGAGCCAAGATACCGATGAATGTAGTTACCAGTAATTTTTCCCAGTGTATGTGTTAGTGTTTGGTTCCATAAATTTTTCGTCGTAGCACGCAGAATGTAAAAAATTATTATTCGAACATAGGGCGAAGCCTAGGAGGGCAAGAATACCACCCATATAGCCGACGAGCCCCAGCCGGGTCAAAACGCGTGCGCCCTTCTAGACTTGAACAACTGCCCACGGTCGTTACAACCCTACATTTTAATTTAATAAGATTAAAGAATTTGATGTACTATAATTTAAATTAAGCAATTCATCATAAAGGGTATTTCTGAAGTAACTTTTTGCGTGGGCTTTCAATAAAATTCCTACTTGGTAATGTTTCATTTTAAATTTTCGACTTTTCTTAAAAAAACGGTTTCAGTTCAGTTGTTTCTGTTGGTTTTGTTTTCTTTTTTTTTTTGGTGTGAAATATTCTGTAGATAACAGAAACGCCATGAATGCCACAGCATCTTTCAAAGTGGGCAATAAATTAAAAGGGTTTTTTGTTAAACACTCTTAAAAAACATTTTATAAAAAGTGCTGTGTGCAATGTTTTCAGGAATTTATGTATGTATGTATGCTTTCAGTCACTTTGTAGTTGCTCCCTTTTTTGTATTTATTTTATTGAGTATGTAATTCTGTCCTTTCCGCACGCTAGCAAAATAAAATACAGAAAAAAATATATGTATACATTTGAAATTGCTGAAATAAATTGACATTTCGCCTCGTCGTCTTTCTGTTCGTGCTGAAGTATATTTGTTTTTTTCTTTTTCTACAGAAAACACAAATGAAATTTTCTATTATTCTTGTGGCTTGGATAAATAAGTAAGCAAAACAAGCCAAATTCAATTGAAGTACACGTGTGTAACTGACAAATACAATTTAAAGCCACATAGTGAAGTTATTTGAAATTAAATTCAAGGATATATGTGGGTGAATTCTAATTATTTTTATAAAGATACCCAAAAGTGGAGCACATTAACACTAGAAAAACAACCTGTTTATCAGATCTCTTTACCCTCAAAAACTGTCTAATAAATATCCAAAAAATATGGCTTAAAATAAGCATATGACAAACCAAAAAAAAAGAAAAACCTAATTAAAACTTGTAAAGCGACAAAAATACAGTTGGCCAGAGGAGATGGTGGCACCTGGCGGTACGTGAGGCTAATTATGTGGAGAGGGTACTATATATGCAGGCACGTTAGACGACAGGTGAGAGGGTGTGAAAGAGGAAAAGAGAAAACAATGGAGTATCAAGACGGTAGCAAATCCAATAATTACTATGCAGGGTGGCATACGCAATGGAACTCTCCGATGCCATCATCGCAGTGTTTGTTAAAAAAGATGATAATGATGACTCAAGCGGAAGAGGAAGAAATGGTGGCAAAGGGTGGATACAATTTTAAGTTTATAGTTAGCTTATTTTTTTCGCCAGGTATTGCATGATCTGAAAGGTAAGCTCAAAAACGGCTCCCATCTTGCAGAGACACCACAAAAACAAAAAAAGAGAACACCTGGTCAAAAAGGAAAATGAAAGTGACGCCGCATAGTTGAAGGCAGGTGAGAATAAATGAGCTCATAAGTACTTTTTGTTTGGCTATTGGACATGTTTAAAGTGTTCAAGTGCATTTAGAGTCGGTCCTAGTTGAGTTATTACCACCGATACAATCTCTGAACTTTTTCCTTAAGTTGTACTTCCCCCCGACTCACCTTCTCCGTGCTGGACTGGAAGTAGTAGACCATCACAAACATCCAAATGATGCTCACGAACACGATCAGTTTGATGTTGCGACGCATTTTGGAGAGCTTTAATTTATATTTTTAACTCCTAATTGGGTTGAGGACGTATCACGTTCACTGCGATATTTAATTATTTACTTTTTGGTGTTGTTGTTTTGGCAAATGAATAATGCGATTTTCACTATTGGCGGTAAAAGAGATAGAGAAACATTGGGATGAGTGAAACAAATATATGTATATAATTTACGTATCCATTTCAATTGTTTTTCGTTCTATTTTTCATTTTGCACTGTTTCCAATCATTTCCATCTTCACTTCATTCGTTTGCCTTAATTGTGTTTGCGTTTTAATTGTTTAACTCTGCTGAATATTCAATTGGATTTAATTAGGCCTCCGATTATCAGCAGCTTTAAATGGTTTTGTCGTTTAATTCTCTCTCTTTCACATATAATTTGCCCACGGGGAATTTCTGGCAAATGTTTATTTAAAGTTATTGAGTGTATGTCTGTGGATGTATTTAATTGCACGAGGACAGATAAAGAGCTGAGGGAAATTATTGTCATTAAAGAAGCGATTAAATAATCATTAAATATGAAAATCAACAGTATTTTTAGTGATTAAATGAAAGTAAAGTATGTTGATTTAATTATAATTTTTAAAAGATGTGCAGCCCATTCATAACATTCTAACCTAGACTATTTCCACAATTTATCTAATCCAAAAAGTCTTATCGGGTAAAAACACAATTAGAACCCGATAAGAACCCCAAAACACACATAAACAAAGTTGATCTATTTCCGAATGTTAAACGATTCTCAGACCATTCACTGAATTACATCACACGCACTTAATGGATGCTAATTAAACGCTCACAAAGCCGAAATTGGTAACGTTTCATTTGGTTTATTTTTGGGACTGTCTCTGGGAAAAGGGAAAGTAAGCAGCAGCTGCTTAGCTGTTTTTCAAGCAGTCAACAGTAGGCATTACGCATACGCAGCGTGGCCTGACGCTTGATAAGATAAGAATTGCCGCTTTCTTATAGCACAGTTGTAATGTTTTTTCGCGTGTAAATCAAGCACACACAAGAGCAAAATTATCACTGTGTTTAATGGCCATTCCGCACAATAACGCTCCAGCCATTCACTTGTTCTCATTATGACCGCTTTACCGTTTTGTCGATTATAACGACTGTTGCTAACACGAATCTCGAATTGCAATCGCTGCCCGTGGCAGCCGCGCTTTGCCACCAAAAAAGCCGTCAACTGTTCTTTTTCGGGGGCCTCGTAATGGGGAAATAAATGTAGAATCGGTATAATCGGAAGTGTGGACACGAAACAGACGGCGTCGCAGAGGCAAATGGCCAAAAAGCGCAGCGGTAGCGTGTATTTTATGCTGCCAGTCCAATTGGAACCAGACCGAATGGGTGTGAGCGTATAAGAGTTGCGTTCGCTGTGGCTCGATGGCAACATGTTCGATGCCGCCCCGGCTTGATAAAATTATTAGTTTTGTTTTTGTTTGTGTATAAAAAGGGTAAAACTTGGACAGATTCCCCTTGGTTTATAATAGGTAAAGTTGATCGAGAACTTGAAGCAGAAGAAGCCCGTGGTCTGAGGTTTATTTTGGCCTGGCCAAGATGATAATGAAAGTCTAGAAGTCCAACTTTATGAATTTAAATTAGCACTTTTGGTACATCTCCTGTTGCTGTTTGATGGAAAGCAAAACAGCGATTCAAGTCGAAAAGTTTTCAACAGAGAAAAGCGCAAAGTTCTAGGAAATATATTTATATTGTTGCAGTTTCTTGTTTATAAGACTTCTTAAGTTTTATTTAAAGTGCTAACTATGCTTAAAAAAACAAAATTATAATTTTATTTTAAATTCCAAATGACATTAAAAACGTATTTTTATTTTAGTTTTACTATTTCACAATTATTCCTACTCTCAAAGTTTATATTGCATTTTAGTTTTATAGAGAAAAACTTTTTGTTGGTTTTAAATTAAAATTTTAAACGAATTTGTTAATTGCTGGGAGGATTTACCCAACATTTTATGTTCTAATTTCAGAAAAAGTTATAGTTTAGTTCTATTTAGCATAAATAAATCATTTGGCAGCCGCTTATGTATGCCTGCCAGCTCGCTTACATTTTTATTTATTTCCCTCTAGCCAACATTAGTTTTATTTCTGTTTCGTTTTTTTTGTTTGTTCACTTTTAATGCAGTTTTTGTGCTTTGGATTTTTAATTTCGTCTAATGAAATATTCATTTAAAATTGGTGAAACAAATTTCAATTATGCAGATTTGAGTCAGGCACCAAAAAAGCGAACAAAACTTTGGATTCTGGCAACAATGGGATATAGCCTTTTTTTGAAGGATCTTTCTCGTGTGCAGTTGGTGGAAAAAGAGATGTGTGTGCTTCACTTATAAATAGCGTATGTGGAGCAGTCCGAAAAAAGGACATGGGTTAGCAGGAAGGATGGACAAGTGGTCTCCTTCGCCGGAGTCCTGTTCCGTCCGCTTCGTCCATTTAAATTGGCTTAAAAACTCAACGAACAGGCAACAAAGTCATGAATATGCACACAGACAGTAGAAAACAACAAGGCAACTGAAGAATACTCGAATAATTACACAAACACAAATGCACACAAATAAAATACGTAGGAATGGGTGGGGATGGGAGGGATTGTGCCTGGGTTTAAACATGTATGCTTGTGTGTCTGTGTGGGTATTCCATTAGGCGTAATTAGAGCATTTAGCATCGGGGAAAAAGTTAAGAAAAGCCAACAGCAGAAACTGACAGATTCAGTAGGTTCTCCGTACTGCATACATACATATGTATGGATGGTATGTGGGGGCATGCAGCACGCTCAGATACAGTTAGCCGGAGTTGCACACGCATACCCAGAGCATTCTGGCAAGTATTTGCACACATGCATGATTGCTCTTTTACCACTCAGACAATTAACTTAAAGTTGGCAACGGGCAGACGGCAGAATGTCTTTCGGAACTGGTTCAAATGTTGCCTTCAAAGTCTCAGGGAAAATATAGAGCAGACTTGTAAAATAATAGCTATATAGCACAAACAAAACTGCTCTTATTGTAATTTCTTTAATAATAAATATTATAGAATATAATATAATTCATTAAAGTTTGTAGAATGGTCAGAACATTCAATGTACCAAAAAAGTATGTGTGAAGTTCAAATCTTTCATTAAAATATAAAAAAAACTATGTTTGTTGTGCTTCTACTTTTGGTGAATATACTTTTTTTACTTTAAACATTAAAATGGTATCTATTAGTTTTAAAAATCGATATTAAATTCAGTTCTAAGCCATTAAATAGCGATTTTTAACATAGAAATTTTATTAAATATCACGTATACGACTAGTTGACCAACGCTTTGAATATACATAGGTATATATTATTTTCATCATTTGTCTACAAGTTTTGTATTATTAATTATATAATATTTTAATATAACTGAACTAGTTCTCCTGCGATACACCCAGAACTTTTTACAATTGCAAAGCCACAACCTAGTCTCGCCCCGACTTTCGGCTCAAGTACGATAATTAAAACTTGGCTAAATGTGGCAGGCAGCTTCCTTGAGATGGGGTTGAACCACTCGAACAAGGCTTTTAGCTACTGACTCTGCTTCTTGGGCTCCTGCTCCTGCTCCCTCTATACTCGTGATCCTGCTTCGTTATTATGGGTGGCTTCGCCACATCCATTTGATTGCACACCATTTGCAGCACAAACGCACATATGCGCCCCACCTCGGCGTAGGGGAATCCCAACTGCACTGTACATTTAACTGTCGTCGTCGTTTCCTGCATTCTGTATATGAACTTTATAGTGTGTGATGCACTGAGATTAATACTTTTAAAATGCATTTCCTTGAATTTTTATGAAATATTAAAAATCAAGAATGTTTAAAAAACACTTCAGTGAATAAAAGTAAAAAGTTTAGAAAAAGTATTAATCTATTTATATTTATATCAAATAATAATAAAAATTAAACATCAAAATTGCAATAGGTTTATATTTTTATGCAGTGTATATCTTCACTTATTGTCCCCTTTTAATCCCCTTGCCATCTGCATCACGGAAATCAAAGTATAAATGTATTTTGTCAAATGCTGGCTCAGAAGTTTCCTTTTCTAGCAGTCACATTCGCCTGCCTTCACAATCCTGCGGAAATGTTGAAAATATCATAAGGAGGCGTGATGCTGCCGCAAATTAATGCATAATTGCATTAGTCACTTCATTTTGTGGTAAGAGCAGCAGGAAGTCTTGCTTGCAACCGCCAAAATTTGTTGCAAATTAATGGCAAGCGGAAGGATAAGAGCAGGTGGAGTGCTAAAGTGTGCTTAATTTCCTGATAGCACACGTTGCCAGGGGGAGCCGATGACTGGCATTAAGTAGTAGAAGTGCACAAGGTAATTTATTGCAATTTGAAAGCGACTTGAGTCTGCGGTGGTCCTGATAAAAGGTTCCTTGACGATGATAATAGGCTTGGTAATGTGAATGCTCGGTACTTGAATTAAGAGATTCGGAAATTCTACAAATTTTATAGGATTAAGGTAAGCAGCTTATAAACATGCATGTTTGAAAGAAGGTTTTATACATTTAGGTGATTTCCGTTATTTTTCCGTGTTCATTGAGGTACATTATGAATGAAAATGTATAAGTAAAGGGCTTTAATTTACGGATTTTATATGATTAAAGCAAAAAAGTATCTAAGATGATTTAAAAATATTTTTTCTATACATTTTATATTTTTAATTAGCAAAAATATTGGTGATATTTGGGTGAATATTAATAATACATATATTTTAATTAATTTTGCTTTCATAATTTGTTTTGTAAACCTAAAAATCTAAAATTCTGAAAACTTTGAAAATTGTGTAGATTTGGTTTTTTAAATATTTAAAAAAATATAATAATGCCTGATAATTTATTTTAAATTTTATTTTTAAGCTTTATTATTTGTTTCCATTTAGTACGCTCTCTTATTCCTCTCTTTTTCGCTCTCTCTGCTTCGTTGCAACTTGCAATGCCGGCCTTGGCTTGCTCTCCGCCTGCTCTCTCACTAGCATGGGGTGGTGCTGGCGCTCTCTCCCGATTAACGGCGGCCAACCACTCTGCTCTCTTCCTTTCCCTGTCTCTCCTTCCCACAAGCTTCATAACAAACTGTCCATCAGCTGCTTCAGCCCCACTAAAGGCGTCGTTATTGTTGTTGTTGTTGACTTTTTCATTTGCTTTCGGCACGCGCTTCTTGGCGACTTTGTTTGTCTGCCTTCGATTTTTAACAAACAAAGTGCAGAATGCAAACGCAAACACAAACACAAACGCAAACGGAAAATGCAAATGCCTGAACATTGATTAGTTACAATTTTCGCTTACACATGAAATACGAATGAACACGTTTATTTATCACTTGCTTTACGAGTTATGGATTTATGATTTTGGACTATTGCTTGCTTTTCTTCATATAGCACTAATTTACAAATTTTGTATTTGTATTAAATGCACTTTGGTGTTTTGGGGCTTGCTTAATTATTTGTACGAGTCGTGTGTGTGTGTGTACAAAAATATACGTTTAACTATTATTATATTAACTATTATTATATTCGGTGGCCACAGTGCGGCTACTTTGCTCTCGCGTTTCGGTCGGCAGACTGACTTTTTCTGGCAGTTGTCTGTTTTATGTCTGTTTCGGGTTGGTTTCTTCCTCTTCTTTTTCATCGCGTTCTTCCCTTCATTCTGTTTTTTTTTTAGTTTGTATGAAGTAACGTTTCTTCTTCTTCTTTTTGTCGCGCATTTCCGTATTTTGTTACCCTTCCGCGTCTGGGGTTCTCTCTAAATGAATCTCCCTCTCAGTACGCTTTAGGGGTAGTTTCCTTTCTCTCTCTCTCCTCCCCATGCGCATGCGCCGACCCTAATTTGGTTGTTTCAAAATGCAAATACCGTTAGATGGGCGCTTATAAGTTATAAGCGGTGATAAGTTCTTCACAAAATAAATATTTTATAATTTTCCGAAAGTTCCCATAATGACAAATATACAAAAACAGTTCCATAAAATTAATATACAATATGTATTTAAGTTTCTGTAAGATAAAAAAAAGGTCTATGTAATGTGCGGCATCGAGTAAAGAAGTTTGTTCCAAAAGTTCGGGCTGTCCCTCCTCAAATAGGTGTTCAGCACCATGTACGCCTTCAGCTCGCTGTCCAGATCGTCAAAGTTCTCGACATCCGGATAGAGGATTACGATCAGTCGCTTGCACCGATCCTTGGATGTGGCGTGCAGAGCGAGCCGGAACTCCAGCTTGCCCCAGGTGGACTCCAAGAAGTTCTTCGTCATCAGGATGATAATGCGCCGCGAATCCTTCACCGACTGGATAATGCATTCGGGAATGGAAGCACCCACATTCCAGTCGCGCAGGTAAAAGCACAGACGGAACTGCCGCTGGCCCTTCTCCAGTCTCTCCACATAATCCGCGATAAGATGTTCGTCCTTGTGGGTGAAGCATAGGAAGGCATCGAATTTCTTCATTCGCTCCAAGTCCACGCGGACAGCCATGCTCATGCATATTTCGTGCTCATAGAACCACATAAAGATGGGCTGCTTAAAGTAAACAAATGCATTTAGAGCCGTAATTATTATTAGGCTAAAAATGAGTAGGATCAGAGGGTAGATGAAGTAAGAGGGACATATGTCACTCTCTTCAACCAATGCAAGATGTTTTCCCAGATTACTGCATTCCATATCCGCAAAATCTTGTATATGTAGCGAAATGCTTCTACCGAAGGAGACAATGTCGTTTATATCGCAAGTGCAGGTCCATGGATTTCCAGCCAGGAATATTTTCAGTCCATTGGAGATTATTTTATTCTTCAAGAATTCCTGCCATTGTGGATTAATTTCCGTAATATTATTATTTCCCAGGTCTAATTTAGTAATGGAGCCGGGAAGAAGGGGAAATTCTGTTAGTCGCCGACCTCGGCAATCCACATTAAGGCCTGTACTATTCAAGTTGTCTAGACAACATACACAATTATCGGGGCACATTGCGATTTTACATCTAGTCAAGACAACGCTATATTCTGACGGTTTTCGATCCTTTAAGAATCCTAGAAAGGATTTTGCCTTGCAGTGACAGTCAAATGGATTACCAGACAGTTCTATAGTGGTTTTAGTATTTTCATATAGAGAAACTACAGTCTTATCATCAAGGGAGCTCAAGCTGTTGTTTCGTAGATCCAAATGAGTCACGTTCTGTGATTTCAATTGGAAAAACACATTGCTAGGTAGTTTTGTGATGCCACAGTTGGCCAACAACACAGCTACTTTATTGGGAGTATGAGTCGGTAGCTCTGGGTAGGTAACACGTTTGCTGGTGCAGTTGATCAAAAAGGTATTTGTGGTGCCATTAAAACAGCACATGCATATTTTCGGACATGTTCCATTTAATTGATCAAAATAAATATCTTGCCTCACAGACATTTTTTGAAGGAATTTAAATAAATGTTCCTCATAACAGTTTGCCATCCATCTGATGTCTGTTTGAATTACGTAATTGATCTTGCTTAGAAAGTCCGCAACTTCACTGCCTATGGTTTTGATGGGATTATCCGAGATGTCCAAATGAGTTAGATTCGTTGGGAGTTGATGGGTAGCAAGGCTGGTTATTTGGTTTCCAGATACATCGAGCCCTACGACTTCCGTGTAGCCGGGCAACGTTTTGTTCGGAAGCTGGCTTAACTGATTCTGGGAAAAAGTTAGGTATATTTGATAATCGCTTGGGATGGGTAGGGGTGGAATTTGTTTGAGCTTATTCGTTGTAGAGCAGCGAACACTAAAATGATAACTGTAAGAGCACTCGCAGTCCGCAGGACATCTTAGGCCATTTAGTCCAACAGTAAAATTGCATTTGTTCGATTCATAGCAAATTAAGGCAGTCAGGTTCTCAAAGGGTTCATATGGTCCCTTAAAATAAATGTGAATGAGCTTACTATAATTTTTAAAACATTCCATTTTCATTGTCATTTTTACATTTGACATTTCCAACTCCATTAAGTTTTTCTGTAGCTCTGGCAAACTGTTAAAACATTAAGAAATAACAAAACACATTAGCTCTTCTAGAATTTTTATCAAAAATCAGATCAGTATTTAACTCACCTAAAAAACTTGAAATAATCACATAGATCGGTTTCCGGAGCGTAGATGTCAGCAATTAAAAGTTCCCGTATTCTTTTCGTGCTTGCATTAACATAATCATTTATTGGTCCTACATTTACAGATCCTTTAAACTTAATCATTAGAGTTAATGGTCCCTCTTCGTAATCAGTGTTTTTCTCGGTAATCACAAAGTGTTCTGCATTTATTTGGAACTTGTTAGCAAAAAACAAATTAAGTTTATTTAAATAAAACGATCCTGGCAGAAATCTAGAATCTTCTGAGCCCCAAATGCCAAATATCTTCAAAAACTTTATATTTCCTGTTTCATTTGTTACTGGCACGATATTCCACTCGATAACATTTTCTGTAGTCCAGTTCAAAGTTAAATCGCCGAATGATTTACTTGTCAGTTTATATTCGTTCGTAATAACGAATGTACCGTTTTCGCGGCAACTCTTTTCACTTAATTTACTGGCATTCAAATACCGTTCACAATAATCGTCTGGAATAATTGTTAAATAGTATCCACCGACTAATGTAAAGGAAACTAAAGTAAAATAATACAGTAAAATTCTCCGCATTTTCAATCTGAACTCGCTAAGAGGTGGATTTGATCTGAGCTCCAAAAATAAATACCCACCAAATTATATGTATAAATATGTTTATTCCCAATCCGCGCATTCAAATATTTTGGAGAAAAATAATTAAGATATAGGGGGAACTTGCAATTCTCATGGGGCCTCTTAGAGCTACGAGCTAACATATACATATGGTAAACTCCTATAATTTGTATACATATACGTCATATATGCTTGACCAATATTGCTTAAAAACAAAGAAAGAAAATATCAAAGAGTTTCGTCAATACTTAACCCTGAAAATGATATTCAAAACTTTTTTAAAGCTGAGTTCCAAACTCCATATCCCACTATCCGATTAAGTAAACCTTTCATTCTCAGAGTCGAAACAATTTAAACCCAACCGCGTTGGATGACTGCCAATAAGGCGAGCAACATAAATTCATATTAGCGTGCATATATTTACACAAAAAACACACCGAGTGGAATGGACAGAAATAACCGAAAGCAGATATACTACCCGTACATACATAGCTCAAACATATCCATATTGTGTATTGAAATTAATCGCTAAACCCTTTTGCATATGTCACGTTCCATTCCCTCCCGAAAATGTGAAAACCCAAGACAAAGGACAATGACAGTTGGGTGGAAAAGTCTGTGCACACTAGCGAAAGAGCTGAACCGAGCAGCTTAATGCCCAAGGACGACCTACCGCCCACCGTAGTGCCATTTGTATGGATTATACATGGGTAAATCATTAATATTTTTGTTTTTCTTAGCATTTTGACTTTCTGATGTCTTACAGAAATTTGCATAAAATGGGGTTTTTGTCGCCTCTGCTGGCTGGGAAATAATAAGGCAGGAGGGCTCCACCCATATCTCTCCCTTGGGGAATATTCTCTCCTTCCACCTATTCCCTTGGTGTTGTTGTTAATCCCAACCATGCGAAAGACTTCTGGGAGAATTTGATAAGGTTTTTGGCCCAATGACTCATCTGCTTCTTATCATTATCCTCAGGGACCCCTGCTGATTATGCCGGATGCTGGGGATGAGTTTGTATTTGTTTTCAGTTTGAAGGGTTGTGCCAGAAATTTTTCCTATCTTAATTGGTGTTGATAATAATTAAAGTATTTTGTTTTTTTGTAGAAATCTAATTAATTTCAAGCCAAAAGGGATGTATAAGTATGCTATAGTATTCTTATGTTTAACTATTTGTATGTAAAAATATTAATAAAACTAAAATCATATGTTTTTTAGTTTGTGCACTAACAAGAATAATACTTTTACAGCTAAAACCCTATATGTATATGCCATAGTAATTAAACATTTTATCATGAAATTCTATTACCAAAACGGAAATTAAATACCTTAAAGACACTTCTCTCCGCGTCCATTCACTTTCCCCATTCCGAGACTTTCGAACCCATCCCCGTGAATGAACTCGAACCGCCGAGTGCATCTTATGTGCCGTCGCTTCCTCGACCAGGTAAATTGCAATATTATGCTAGACTGCGAGCGGCGACGTAATCGCCCTGAGAAACTAGGAAAACGGGTTAATAATGCCATAAACAAAAAACGCAAAAAACGAGCAGCAATAAAGACGACACTTTCGTGACTGGCCAGCCAGCCAGCTACTCGGCGATGTTTGTTTGTTTGTTTGTTCGTTGGCTGGCTGGTTTGTTTGTTTGCGCGCCAAGCGGAAAGTGAAAGGCAAACGGCATGCGAGTTGGTTTTGTTTGGGCCAGGAAAAAAAGCTGAGACGGGCAGCTGGCTCAGCCTTGTGGCAAATACACAATGCCCCTCCGTCACATGTGTCTTTGTTGCTGCTTTCATTGTTGCAGGGGCATGCCGAGGAATTAGTGTCTGCCTTATCACAACGACGACTTGTGCACCCAAAGAAATAACCTTGACATATGTGGCGATTTTTAAGGCAATACCTTTTGGGTATTATAACTCAGACATGTTGAAGATCATAAGTTATGAACTGCAAAAAAGCATTATAAAAAGTTATAGAATATTACGTAGCCGACATGTGGCATTTACCATACTACTTAAAGGTGAGAAATCGATTATTCCTAAGAAACAAATAATAATTAAGCAATTAAGCAATTATTACAAAATATTTCGAGTTTCTTAAATACTAAATAAATATAGACATCAGTTATTTTCTTATTCAAAAATACTAACCAATTTACTTGTACCTTTTTATGCTTATGACTTTAATATTAAATATTATTAAAAATTATTATAAATACCACTAAGTACTTAAATAACCTTATTTGAACGAAGAATTCATTTTTAATATCGATTATCTATTTTTATAGTTTTAGTTTCTGTGTAATAAAGCAGCTGTGGCAGCTACCTAGTTGTGGGTTCAACGACTTTAGCAACATCATCATCATTATCATCGTTGTCATGTGGAATTCGCTCGCAGAAACATATGCTAATAAATTTCTCATAAAAAGCTCTTCACAATGCCAACGCATCACGCCAGCCAACAAGTAAATACTAAGGAAAATGATAAGCTATGTTAATACCCTTGGAAGTGCAACGGGAATTAAATAAAAGAGGTATAATATTTTATTATATTTGAACTTAGTAAATGCCTTTAATTTTATAAAATTTAATTGCATAGGAGGTTCTTTCCTTTTTATTAGGTACCAAACTAATTAATAAGTACCTCGAGATTTTATTGTTAATTTTGTGTCATCTATGATTATGTCTTTATGTCATATATATTGCCTATGATAAATGAAATATTTATGACTTTAATTTTATTTAATTTGCTTTGTATTTTATTCAATTATTTATTTACAAATATCAACAGCATATATAGCTCAAATATACCCCACATTCAGTCTTCATATAAGAGGGATAATCTTCGAATCAACTCGCTTCTCCATCTTTCATTCACAATCCTCATATAATTATATTTCATGTCACAATCGCCTTTCAAGTTATCCATCAAGCTCACCTTTAAACGCATTCATCTCCCATTCCTTCCACCATTTTCTGTGGCGAGTTTTCCCCAGCAGAAATATATTTTCCAGCTGATTTTCCAACATTTCTCCATCGCTCGTCTGTTGACACAATGCAGCAGCACCGGAAATAAGTGCTCTGTAATGGCTTAATTGGTATTTATGATTGCAGATCGACGTACGTGACATATTAAGATAATTGTGATGGCATTCATTGTCCTTGTACTTGAGGCAGCTGGGGAGATTTAAATTTAAATTAAATTATTTCAGCAAACAGGAAATAAGCGAAATATTTTTAATGAATATTTTACACAAATGATTTTGTATATATACTTTAGTTTATAATTTCCTTTTGAACAGTATTTTTTTTTATATAAAACCCATTTATTCAATAGTTATTGCTTCCTTTGAAATATTTGTACTTGGAAGCCTGAAAGTCCTGCCGTAATTTGCCAAACGACTTTTTCTATTGTTATAAATTTTCTAGGAACGCTCTTACCTAGCAGCATTTGCGTTTTGCAATTTGTCGTCATTATTGCCGCGCAGTTGTAAGTTTAGAGCTTTTGTGCAAGTTTATTGGCAACAAATGAGCGACGCGGCGCTCGTTAGCTGGAATCGTTAGCAGTTTCAGGTGCATTTTATAAATATGTAGATGCCACACCTCTGCAAAATGCTGCAGAATATTGCATTTCATAATGGCATGGAGGCAGCCGAGCGAATTGATTTACGCCAAGTCACGTAGTCATGGTCCTGGTTCATGGTTCTCAGAAGCACCAACTTTGCGATGAGGGAATTAGGGTCTTCTGAGGATGCTTAATATACTTTCAATTCTCCTCCACTGTAGTAATTTTAGTAATCTTAAGTCCCGGCCAAAGTGTGGGCTTTAAGCACGCTTTCCCCTTTCGGCCATTAGCATAATCGATGCCACTTTGTTTTCCCAGCTTCCACTGATGCCCCATTCTGCTCCCATTATTCTCGTGGGCGGATTGGTTGGTACATATGCCTGAAAGTAAATGAATTAATTAACCATGTGACGAGCGTTAAATTTCAACAAAAGGCAGCCGCCACCAAAGTCGGAACAATTGCAATGCGAAAATTTAATTAAGCTGCAGCCATCAGCGTAAGAACTTTGTTGCCCGGGGTCTTCCAGTAGGTCGTCCTCCATCTCGTGCATACATATATATAGAGTTAATATTGCAATTAAGTTTTCGTGCAAAAAGTTTCGCTGCTTAATTGTAAAACAGTTGTTAATTAGATTTATCGGGGTTGTCTGGCTGGAATGGAGTTTCCGCGGCAACTTTAATGAAATTTCTTCATTATTAGGTGAAAACATTTA